CGGACCTAGGCGCTGCACCGTATCGGTCAGTGTCAGACTTGCGCACATGTTGTTGCCACAAGTTCCGTATCATGACCTCAACAGTACCGTTGATTAGGAATGGCGACCTCATTTGAGATCCTCTTCCGGTTCGATAAGCGATAATCAAAGNTCCGATTCGATAAGCGATAATCGAAGAAGACTGATTAAAATACTTTAGTTTTTACCTGTTGTCCTACAAATTAGTTTCTTTTACACCTACTTATCTTGTTTGCTGCCAACCAGATGGTTCAAGAAAGGCGGGGACCGAGTAAACAACGTTCATTCAAAGGTATGAGCGTCGTATTTACGTACGCGACGTTGCGATTCTCGAGAATTTCTTCATCTTCCTGATTATTTTTCATTATGCCGAACATGTCTTCTACACACCTGTGGTAGATGGCAAGTTTGTGTTGAGAGTCATGTGGCGCAGTAGTTTCCAGCAAATCTGCTTCTAACGGATCAACTGGCGGTATAGGTAATCGGTGAAGAGACATTCAACATACGACGTACATATCACACGTAGCTTCTATCAATGTTCAGCAGCAATTCCAGAGTCTGTCTGACAGTCGCGTACATCTTCACAAAGATAGTCAACAATTTCTTGTAGAGGAACATTGGTGAAAAACGAGCCGACGTTAGGCGGGCACATTTTTGTTAGCAGGACTAATAACTCTAATGGCAACTACGAAGCCGAATATATCACATAGGCCGTGTTTGCTCAAGTACTTGCTCACCGCATCAAGGATCCTAGTTAGTCACACAGCTAACATCTTGCACGGGGCTTTGCACATGTTCAGGATCGGTTTCCGAACGTTCGGAGTTTGAACAGACCATGAACAGACCACGATATAATGGTTCCAGTCGGATGGCTGCAATCAGATGTCCGGGAATCGTAAAGTCTTCTGCTTCTAACACCTCACCTAAGCGCAGATTACCTATTCGGTGAATCCTATTCTGTGAAACAGCTTGCAGTTTGGTCGGCTATGCGTGAGTAGACCACTTTTCGCAACATGATCTGAGTTGTTCCTCAAAACAATCCTTGGGTCTTGGTTTGTCAGCCTCGCAACTATGTCACCCTAGTCTCTGAGGAATTTGCGTGTTTGTCGGTGTCGTTGCTTATAGTCCGTAATTAACAGTTTGGCAAAATAATTTACGTTCAGTGTTTGTTCAACTGGTTAGGTAGATCGCAAACTGTGGACGTGAGTCCACATGAATCCGGTGTTGATACAATTGCAAACTATTCCTGTGTGTCTACCAAACGCCATGCTGGATGAGTGCGTTTGTAGTTTTGAGTGTTACCTTATCCTACCGATATACTTGACCCACCTCAATGACAGATGAATGTGCTTCACATCGTTTCCAACCCTACAAACGACAGTAGTCAATGTTCGGAACCTTAAAACGGTGTGTATAATTACAGTCCTTAGCGGCAAGTTGATGCTTATTTGGAACCAGTATTCTACCCCAAGTGCTTTCTTCTCAAGCTAAAGTGTACCACGGAAACTTGCAACCGTACACAAAACATCACTATATAGGAAGTCCAGCAATCAGTCCTCAGTTCGTTTGTATCAACTGCACGACTAAGACTGAGTCAGTCCAACTTGCGACTCCACTCCTGATGGAGCGATCTCTTTCCACCTCATGTAATCTATCAGTTCACTTGCGATTGCGGTGACACCTACGTCCGAAAGGCAGACCTCTGGTGGTGGTCGTTGGCTTATTCGCTGAGCTGGACAATTTGATTGCCCACCAATCGAGGTGGCATCATCAGTGAGTTATTGGGGAGAGTAGTAGTGCGTGGCGGTGGGTTAATAGTTGTGCCTACTAACCCACCGCTACGCACTACCACGCTCCCCAATAACGCACTGATGATGTCACCTCGATTGGTGATGAAACGTCTGCAATCAAATTGTCCAGCTCAGCGAACAAGCCAACGGCCACCATCTACGCTACCTGAGCTACTTACATTTTCCTCTATAGGAAACCTCTGTGTCTCAAACAATCGCGGAGCGCACAACAAAATATCTCATGCGCTCCATGAGACCCGAAACCCATAAGAATAGAGTATATGTCACACTGTTGGTTACAGGTCATCCCGTTGAATCCTGATGATCATTAGCTGTTCTGGATGCTAACATTCATTGAGACAATACTGATTCAACTCAAACCGACGATTTTGGGTTTGTAAAAGTTTACCTTGACACTAACCTTCTACTACCCTTCCTACCCTATGAAATTCTCCACCCTTTTTAAAGCTTCAGCTGACATTCCATACACCTATCCATGCATGTTTCGCGGGGGAGGAGGATCGACTAAACTGGATGAAATGTGAGCATTTGTCACTTGTGTCTTCTCACAGTTACGACCAATCGAATTCCCTCAGTCTCAACGGAGCTCAGATGCACTTGACCAATCAGAATAGTGCGAATGGAATATCAGCTGCGTTCACCCGCCGGTATTCCCTAGCCTATATGTTGGTTTCCATCACCCTGTTCACGCTAAACACTGTCCGAATTGACCAAAGTGTTGATAACTGAGATTCCACTCTAAAGTGTTCTTGATACGTGATGTTCGCACAATGTTCTGCCTGCGTTCCTGCTGGACTGTAATTAAACTATCGTAAAATTTCAGCCAATCTGTGTGCGTCTCACAGATTGTTTAGTGTGGACGGCCTTTGACTGGGACTGATATAAATACGGTCTGTGCATGTCTTAGTTAGAATTGACTCGTCGGTACAAACAAAGTGCGAGCTTCCTTCTGGAGTGATGTCCGGTCAACTTCAGCGATATGATATCAGATTCGGGTTAGCTGTCCTGACGTTTATCGTTTTGGTGAGTTCCGTATTTTTGAATGGATTCCGGTAGGTGACGGAGAATGAAAGCTGAGCGGCTAGAGTTTAGGCAGAGGTAACTGTTGTAAGGTAGAGGGCGTGCTGACTAATCAGAAGAACGAGTTCATTTTTTTGGGGGTAAAATTAGTCCTGATGGAATTGGTGAAACTGGTGGACAGTAGCTGACAGGTCGATAGCATCTACTCGTATATTCCCATTAAGCATGGAAATTGGAAAATATGAAATGAAAGTTTCCCATGAAGAGTCTCAGTTGAGGTTGGCCGAAGCATTTCTTTACAAATTGGAAATCCGAAACCCAGCCAAAACTGAAACGAAGAAATCCTCTGTTGACGCACTGTTGCGAACGGCCTAGTTGAGTTTCACTACGATGCAGAATCCAACTCCACCTTCGAATCATGGTTCTGAAGATACGAGGACATTCTTCGGATGAAATTTGCGGATTTATATGATGATTGGAAATCACGACTTCCGGAGAAACTCGGACAAGCGAACATGACAAATTTATTAATTTTATTCTCCCGAAATTGGCAAAAGACTTTTCCTTTGATGAAGTTGTGCAACTTTTGAAAGACATTTTCTGCGAACCGTCTTCTCCACTGAACGTTCGTTACAACTGTTTGAAGTCGGTTAAATCGTACAACGATGACTACCTTACGTATGCAAGCGTAGTGAACAGTCAGCGTGAAAGATTCAAACTCCGGAAAACGACAGAGGATCAATTTATGTCTCATCTTTATCCGTGGGCTACAGTCACCACGAGATACCAATATCCGAACTCGATTGCTAAGCTAGATTGAGCAGGATCCATCAGTAAACCTCAAAATATTTATTACGGTGTATCAAAGTTTGCTTAATCTCCAGTACGATAGAGCCATGATAGAACGCAGTCCGCTCACTTGCATGCCGTTTCAGAGATTATTCAAAAAGCAAATGTGAATGAACAGTCGTTGGGGTTCATTAGGCCACCCACAACAGGTTACCGCACAACTTTCTCTCAAAAAGGAACCAACCATTGAAGCGAACAGTGCGTTCTTCAAAGCCACACACCAAACCAGTGCTGGACACTTTAAACCCGGTTCGGAAACCCAGAAAAAATTCGTGTCAGTTGTCCTAAATGACACACCGCTACGTCTGCAACTCGACACGGCCTCCGACATCACAATCATTTCCAAGGATACCTGGAACATAATGGGTAAACCTTATTTCAACCCCGCAAATCGTTCTGCTCTAAAAGCTTGTGGTGTAAAATCACAGTTGACCGGTGGGCTTTCTTGTTTTGTGCTGTGCAACAATGTTCTTTTCACTGGAATATGTTACCTGACCAATGTTCCCCATTTGGATCTCCTTGGCCCGGACTGGATCGACAGTCTGAAGCTGATGGAAATTCCCCTAAACACTGTATGCAAGCTTGTAAATTCGGATGTCTCTCAAACCTCAAAATGGACATAACAGCTTCTGAAAACTTACTGAGATGTTTTCAGCGATACCCTAGGGAAGCGTTCAAAGACGAAAGCCGTTCTGTTTCCACGTCAGCACGCGAAACCTGTGTTCCGCCCAAGGAGACCCGTTTCTGTCTTGCTGTCTAGTCTGTAGTTGATCAAGAACTACAGGGACTGCGAAACGAGTGGAAACCTGTGTCCGCCCAAGGAGACCCGTTTCTGTCTTGCTGTCTTGTCTGTAGTTGATCAAGAACTACAGGGACTGCGAAACGAGTGAGTCATTCAACCAATGAATTATTCAGAATGGGCAGTACCGATTGTGGTAGTCGAAAAAGTCAAAAAGGTGGAAAATGTTTTGCCAAGTTGGATCTATCTGATGCGTATTTGCAGGCTGAAGTGTCAGACGAGAGCAAGTACCTACTTACAAACAATACACCTCGTGGACTCTTCCAATACAAGCGACTACCATTCAGTGTTAAGTCCACATCAGTATTATTCGAGCAGCTAATGGACATCATGCTACAAGGACTATCATTCGCTTTTGCTTAGTTGGACGATATTTTCATCATCGGCTTTGACCCAGAAAATCTCCATAAACGTCTCGATCATGTACTGGACCGAATCCAAGACTATGCATTCCACCTCAGAATTGAAAATTGTCAATTTTTCAGGGATTCCATCAAATATCTCGGATTCGTAACTGATCATCATGGCCGAAGACCGAACCCGGAACACAGAGATGCCATCAAACTGGTGCTTCTACCCAGGGATTTACCTACATTGAGGCCACCCTGGGACTCATCAGTCCGTATAGTGCTTTTGTACCAGCAATGTGGTCCACTGAACCGTCTTCTACTCAAGGAACGTTGATTAACAGGACAGTTTTAAAAAATCAAAGCTTCGCTAACTTCCGACCTACTTTTGACACATTATGACGCGTTTCGTGATATCACTTTTGTGACCGATGCATCCAGTTACGGCGTGGGAGCAGTCATTTCAAATACGTCTAAAGATGGCTCGGAAAAAGCCATAACCCATGCCTCTCAATCTTTGACAGCTGCAGAACGAAGTTACAGTCAGATCGAAAAAGAAGCCCTGGCGATAGTTTTTGCAATGAAAATGTTTCACAAGCTGCTTTATGGCCACAAATTTAATTTCATTACTGACCACAAACCATTATTAACCATGTTGGGATCCAAGAACGGCATTTCTTTCTATTCTGCTGATCGATTTCAAAGATCAACTGCAATAGCGGAGAATGTCGGTAGCTCAGGTAGCGTAGATGGTGGTCGTTGGCTTGTTCGCTGAGCTGGGCAATTTGGTTGCAAACGTTTCATCACCAATCGAGGTG